GATAGTAATCATTTAAAGGGGAAGTTATTGAAAACATTTACAGCCAAATGCTCAAAGCTCAATACCAAACTTGCTCAACTAGAAGTAGTTTAGTAAAGTTCTGATTTCTGTACCTATCACCCCTTAAAAAAAACAAAAAGTAAATTCCTTTGGAAAGTTTTAGTGCATAAAGGGACTTTTCTAGGACCTGTGGCATGACTGAACGGCAGGGCCAGAAGGCTATAAGTACTTGTTGGTACTTTTAAAATTTAATAATTAGTGCACTAATCAAATATGCTCACTAAACTCAAAATGCTTATATAATTTTTTTTTTTTTTAATAGGTTATTCTTCCATGGTAAATAGTCTACTGCGGATTTCCGAATGAGAGTATTAAAATAGATAAGAAAAGAAAGGAACAAGCTTGTTTACATTACCCTGGTCCCTTTTTTTATTACTTCATAGTGATGATTCATCAATTAGGTATTATATTTGGATAAAGAAATCCTTGCTAATACACAAAACATAAATTTCAGATTGTTTCGAAAATGTGTTGAAAAACCTGGAATAATTCTGATTTGGAGATTTGAAAATAATCATTATTGAGGGGTGTGACACTCATGAAATCAGGTGTACACTTTGTACAAAAAAAAATCAATACAAATCATTGAAATCTGTTAAATCAAGCAAGGTTCGAAATATGATACCACCCCAAAAAGCGCAGAATTTCTATTTCACCCTGTATCTCGAGAACGAAACAAAGTGGCACAATAGGCACCTTGCATGGAAAATTAAATTGATAACTGGTTATTGCAAACTGTAGGAAATCGGCAAAAAATCTATGAATCAAGTATGAATATTCCGAAAGTTATACAAAGATTAAGTTTTGTATATATAGATATACTCAGCATGGAGTGAGGTCATAGGATATCAAAAATAAGCATATTCCAAAGCGTTGTATCTCCGTCAATTTTTGTCTAACAAGAAAAAGAAAAAACACGTGTTGACTTATTTTTCATTGACAAACCAAATCAGCAATAAAAAAAATTGATGCAAGGTGCCTAGTCTGTTTGCGGCATTCAAAGTTTCACGAAAAACTGATACAAGGTCGCGAAAACCGCAAAGTTCTATCTCTGCTGGTTACCAAGAAACCCTGTGATTACAAGCAATTTGGGACACAGTGTACATGGAGCGCTGTTGCTCCCTTAAAGATTGTGGAATTTGGCAGTCAGTGACCTCGGTGTACACATTTTGGGTCAGCTATTCACTCCTTGCCTATACCCAAGATCGAAATTACTCACAGCACAGCATGGCGTAATTTCTGTGAAGCGGTAGTATTGGCACTTACTTTATATAGCGTTGCTAATGGCATGAGTCATTAACAATAATTTTGATCTCGACGTATAGGTAATGTTACTAAAATCATGAAATATGTGTGAATCTAGTAAAATTTGATTTACTCTTGCGAAATCAATGTAAATCTGGGAAATCAATCAAATTAACAAAATCAAGTGAAATCAGCAAAATCAAGTAAAATCAAATAATTATCTCTGGAAATCGTTGAAATCAAGTGAAATCATGAAACTTTACCAAATGCAATTTTCGATTTCATTGATTTCCATTAAAGTAATGAAAAAATGAAATGAAAAAAATTTTGCTTTTTTCAATAGATACATACTGGCATTATCATCAGATACAAAGCTAAATGTTGAGATTTGTAAAATCTAAAAAATAACATGGAACAAAAGACCAGACTAGCCCAAATCTTCTTGTTCTTTAGATTGTTTACCATGTATTATATCACCTAGATCATGTTTATTGAAAATATATACAAGATACTATCAACAAGAAATTTAAATAGTGAAAATCTTGGTGGAAATATAGGCAAATGATACTGATCCGATAATTGTTGTGGGGTGTATATTTTAGACCGCGCCTCGCCTTTAGAAAAATGTACTGTATTTCCTACCTGGGAGTTTTTAGGAATTCCCGATTCAATAATGGTATTTGCAATGTTGCCAAATTAAACCTTTCTAAGATACCATATGCAACTTATTTTTTTCAAATGGAACTATGTATCTCTTCATTTTTATTGGCATTCATTCAGCGTCCCAGTCACAACCTTACTGAAAGCCCTAAATACCAAACCTCCATTCGACTTGGTTTTTGAAATATGCAACACAGCTTTTTTGTTGAACTGTATGAAACAGTCTCGTATTCCAGAACAGGGAATACCTGGGTTTTGGGCCTACCTGCCCCTCTTATAAATCTTGAATACCAATGGGCTACTTTCACATTTTCCGAAAATATACTGTTCTCAAAAGAGTCTGTGACAGTTTGCAACCAGTCAGAAACAATCGCTCAGCTTAGTTACCTATTTATCTTGGAACGACCGCATTGAAAACATGCATGGGCGATGCCTCCTGACAGTTTTCAAACTGTGAGAGACACCTGTGGGAATAGACCTTAAGTAATTCTAATAATACATACTATCTGTATACTTTTTTCATATACTGGTGACAATGAAACTACTACCCATGGCGGCATTCCTTAACAGCTCGAGATAGAAATATGCAACTTGGTTTGTTGATAGGGTTGAAAATTGTGAACAATTTTAATATAAAAACAATTGAATGTCTTTTCCGGTTCTACCGGAAATGGCAGTTTTTACGTAAAATATAAACAAATAGGAATTACTACATATTTTTGAGCCACTCTAATTTAAAAACTATCAATTTTTGACATAGGGTATGTTAGACAAAAGTTATTTAGAATTGTCCAGAGAGTCCAAAAAAATAAATACATACAGGGTGTCCCATTTAAAATAACAAAGTCAATGCCATTTCCGGTGAAACCGGAAAAGACATTCAATTGTTTTTATATTAAAATTGTTCACAATTTTCAACCCTATCAACAAACCTAGTTGCATATTTCTATCTCAAGCCGTTGAGAAATGCCGCTGTGGGTAGTAGTTTCATTGTCACCCGGTATAATACCACAAGAGGAAAAATTTTGTTGGCAAAATTTTCGACTGGTATGAAAGTTTGTTGCTTGGCAATTTATCGAACTTTTAAACTGCCGCGAAAACGCTGGACCGGTATGTGACGTCATAAACCGGAGAATCAGTAAAAATGCGAGGATACCAAATTTCTCATTAGTACATCATTACACAACTCATCACCTAGAGACTATTGTCGTCCTCTACTACGGTATAAAAAAATTAAGGATAGGTGTAATAATCGTTGGGTTGGAACTCATTTAAATTTCGCATTTTTAAATGTGGCAACAAATTAATGAATATCGGCTTTAACCAATGAGAGAGTGTTTTCAGTCGCGTGATTTTTTGTGTAAATTTTATTAATTTATTTAATAATCTGTCTAAAATCTTAGAAAATATTGTTCATTCTCGGTTGCATTCATGTATCTGCGTCAAAAAATATCATAATTTGCCATATTCCCGGCACGTGAAAGTGGCCCATTATCACGTTTCCAAAGCCTGTTTTGGAATAGGAGAACGTTTCCATACATTTCAACAAAAAACCTGTATTGCCATATTTCAAAAACCAAGTCGAATAGATTTTTGGCATTCAAGGGTTTTAGTAATGTTAGGACGCTGAATTAATTACAATAAAAATAAAGACAGACTTACATTTCAAAAAAATAAGTTACTTACAGCATCTTTAAAACGGTAAGGTCAGCAACATTGTAAACATTACCATTGAATCGGGCATTCCCAAAACAAAAACCATCAGGTAGGAAATATAGTACAGGCTTATTGGTGTTCATTTTAAAACTTACCACCGCTATTATCTGAGAGTTGAAAAATTTTCAACAAAATCGCTGAAACACATCAACTATAATTTGAGGGGGGATGAGTTTTTATGCAAAATTCACTTCCCCCTTTCAATCCCCCAGCCTCCAGCAGAGCCAGGCCCTAGAAAATCTTAAATGGGAAAGGGGCTCAAGTGATACATCATTTTGGAGCGTTTTTAATTCCATACATTCTGGTACTGAATTTCCATACCTAAGCTCAACTGTTTTGGAAATATTGATAGTTGAAAATTGTCTTTTTTTCAACTTATTGATATAATTTTCAATCCAATTACGTTTAATCTTCGGTTAAATTCAAAGTGTGTCAAATGTTAGTTTATGAAAATCTAGGATGAGAATGTAAGCTCGGTTTTCCTTTAAAATTAATCATTAAGGTTTTACAGCCAGTCAAACATTTGAACTTAGGTATATGGTAGATCACTAGAAATCTGCTTAGAATTTCACCTACTATCCGAACATTCAATAATATACAGCGTATTTCTTCTAAAATAACAAAGTTAGACCACAACCAGCTTTTCTGAAACACTCTGTACCCTGTATATGCGAAAGTGGGTTTTTTTTTAAAAATTAATTTCAACAATAAAACTTTTATTTGAAACAGTTCCATCTAAAATGTCAAATAAAAAAGATAGAGGTAGAGGTATAACCAATAACCCTGTACGACCAAAATGGGACAAGTTGTACAGACACAAATCCTAGTTTCTCCTAATCAACAACATTACAATCAACTAGCAACTGTAAAGATATAGATTATCTTTGCCAGAATTTGTCTCGAATTGGACAATCTTCCCTATAGAAAAAAAGGATCTCTTGGCCTGAATAGGAACAGAACAACAAATTTTGCAATGCCATAATGGATTATCAAGATTCTGCTAATGGAGCATTTCATATGTAAATTGCCCTTAACATATTCATTCAGTGGCATTCACTTGTAAAAGTACAATGAAAAGTGAGACCTAAAACCTACCATGAAAGAAGATAAGTTTGTTGATTCTTTTACAGTTTCAAACTGATAATGAATTAATCCAGATTCACAAATTAACCAAATTACATGCATCATTTATAAACCTACATTCCCCTTTAGCTCTGTTTCATTGAAGAAATATAGAAATAATTGTATATTGTATCATCTTTTCTTCTGAAATGGATGATTATGAAACAAGTATACAATTTTTTTTCTCTAATTTCTAGATCAAGGAGCTAATTTTGGACAACTGCAGAAGCACCAACATTGTCGGTTTATCCGACGAATTTGAAAATTTGGAGTCCCTCTCTCTCATAAACGTCGGTCTCACTTCCCTCAAAGGATTCCCCAGGCTTCCGAACCTGAAAAAACTGGAATTGAGCGATAACAGGTAAAAACCCAACCCAAAATCTTTGCAAAACATCAATTTTATTGATCCATCATTTTAGGCTGAGTGGTGGCTTTGACATACTGGAAACCAGCCCGAAATTAGCGTACCTCAATCTAAGCGGCAATAGAATTAAGGACATAGAATCGCTAGAGCCGCTGAAGCCGTTCAAAAATTTGAGAAATCTCGATTTGTTCAACAATGAAGCTACCAGCACTGAGAATTATCGGGAGAAAATTTTCAAGATGCTTCCAAATCTAAAATATTTAGATGGGTAATTATTACTATCTTTTTATTAGTATACTGGTAACATGCAAGCCCCTAGGGACCATTGACCTAAATTCAACAGACCATGGAGTGCAATTTATATCTGAAATAATTTTTTTTGAAAATCATTAGTGAGCAAGACACAACCTGATAAGACTTAATTAAATCATTTATTATATTGAATAATTGTTGCATAAATTACTATCAACTCAAATGCATTTTACTATGTTTAATTTTCATCAGTATGATTTTGTCTTGAGCTGTTTACTACTAGTGTTTTTTCCATTAACAGTTTTGATGCTGAGGATCACGAAGTTGAAGAAAGTGATGGTGAAGAAGAGGTGAATGGAAATGGGGAAGAAGAGTCCAATGATGAAGATCCAGAAAGCTCCGCTGAAGAAGAAGTAAATAATATTATTTATTTAAAAATGAAATATTAATATTTTTGTTATTTTTTTTTTAAGGAGGATGAATTGGATGATAGTGTCGATCTGGGTGTGGTCTACTCAGAAAACCTCGATGATCTATCAGATGAAGGTGATTATGAAGGTGGAGAAGAAGACGATGAGGATGAGGAGATAGTTGAGGATGAAGAGGACGATGAGGATGCTCACGTAGTCACCCCGAATGGTAAGAGCATAATAATTTACCTCCAAACAAAAAAATAATTTCCTTTTTGATTTCAGATAAGGGCAAAAAGCGAAAGCGCGAAGATGGTGAGGAAAACTAAATATTATTATTTATTAAAAAAAAACGTTATCAGATACATCAAGAAAATTAACATTATCGGGACAAACAAAAAGGGCCTTTGGCGTCTCTCCTGGCTGTGGTTTGATTTTTTTTTTTTCAATTTGTGTACCTGTATTTTTTATGTCCAAAATTTTTTATTGTCAATAGGGCCGTAGCGAGGACGCCAAATTTCAGAACAAATTTGATAAATTCCTTTATCAAAATTTAATAATAATTATAAATATATATATTTATATTCTAAATTGTTGTAGAGAGTATCCGTGTTTAATTTTAACTTTCTTTTTTAAATATAGTGTATGTTTTTTTATGGGCTGGGATAAATAGCATAAACAAATAGTTATTTTTCATATTGAAAAATAAAATCAAAATATACATATACATGTCACATTTGTGCAATTTGTCCCATGTTTTTGGCATTTCATCAAAATAAAACTTAATTGTATTTTGTAAAGTGTTGTGAGAATGACAATTTAGATTTTTTTATTATGGGCAAAATTGACTATCTCTTAAGACTGCGGACATTGAGTGTAAGGTTTGTCGTTTAGGGGTGATTTATTCATGTTCCATGAATAAATCAGCCTTTAGTAGTTAGTTTTAGTTTTTATTTTTTTGATATGCTGATTAATCAAATAATAAGAAATCGTTAATATTTTTTAAATAGGTTTTCCTCCTTGTTTTAAGCGTTTTAAAATGAGAAATTACCAGTTATTGAGATAATGTTCTATGAAAAAGCTACGGCCCTACAGCAGGGCTTAGGGGAAAAATAATTTTATTGTTCATTTCAGTGCTTTCACGATAAAAATGTTAACGTTTTTTAAGTAAAGTATTTGTTTGGGCCATGAACCAATACCAATATAATGTTAAAAATGGCTCGAACCAATAATAAATAATTGTAGTTCTGTTAGAATCCCCATCCAGCTAAATAACTAGTTTCAAATTTATGTTTTCAAAAACATTGCCAGAATAGATACTTTTACTAACCTGTTTTTTTTTCTTTAAGATAAGAGTTTTCGTTATAATAATTAACCTGTTACTCAAGTGAAATTTATTCATGTATTAACCCTATGTAATAATGTATTTGCATTTATCCATTTGATTGTTTTTATAGAGCCTTATTTCTTAATAATGAATATTTTCTTGAGAATTTTTTTGTTTGATTTTTTTTCTGGCCTTTTTAAATATAGGTATATACCAATGAGCCGCAATAAAAGGGTTCCGTTTTGTTTGCTACTACTGCTGCTTTTTTATTCCTGGCGTTTTCAGCATTTGTAAAACTGTTAGTTAATGCAATCTAATGGATATTGGTCAGCCAGTTGTCAACCAGTGGGATTATAGATTGGTGAATTTATCTTTCCAGTGAGTTTGTCTGGAGATGAATGAACCAAGCCTAAATGTACTTATTCATGGAGTCTGCAAAGTTATTCTATTTGGGATTTAACTTGTGCAGGGTGGTCCAATTTGGACACTTAATAGGAAACATCAACTTCTTAGTGAGATACAAAAAGGTGGGGTGGTTCTCATTTTTTATGTCTCCCTCAGAAATTGATGTTTTTTATTAAGAGTTCCTAAATAGGACCACCCTGCACATCCTTCTAGCATCAAAGAAATTGAAAATGAAGAAAAGGGATATTGTTATTTAATTTTTCTTCCTTCATTTCTCAATTTTCTATGCCAGGCTTGAGCTCTTGTTTTTTTTTCCTGAATTGGCTTGAAGATTAGGACAGCCTGGAATAAAAATTGAGGCAGTTTAGTTTATCTGACACAAAAAGCACTTGCACAATGATCTAGTATTTATGGCTTCTACATTAAAGTCCCCAACTCTTTCTCTCCAATGGCTCAACAGCCTAAATTGGACCCTGGTCTCCGATATCTCCTCCACACATGCCGTCCATGATTTCCCTTCTCCATACTCTGTGCTATTTCATCTTCTCATCTCTTCCATGGCCTTCCTTTTCGTTTTTTTTCCACACATTCGGCTGCTAGTGCTTTCTTTGGTCGTCTTCCTTCTGTCATTCTGATCACATGACACGTCCATCGAAGTCTTTGCAACCTGATGATTTCTGAGACGGGAGCCTATCTGAACAGTTTGTATAGTTCTTGATTGTAGCTTGTTCTCCATATCCGATTCTCATTTATGCCCCTAGATAGTTATCGGAGGATTTTTCTTTCAAAAATCTCCAGCTTGCTTTTCAGGCTGTCGGCTGTCAGGCATGACCCATGTTTCGCATCAATAACATATATAGAACTATCATGGTTTTGTAAATTTGATCATGAATTCGCAATCGATAGTTCCGTGTTGCGGTGAGAAATACTTGTGGCAGAGAGATGTCGGCTGTGGCTTTTATTGGTGTGATCTTGTTTGTCGTCTGTACTCTGTTTTGTATTTCGGCTTCCTCGTTCCCTGATGTGTTTATCTCAAATCCCAGGTATTTGAGGCTCTCAATACCGCATCAAGATCGTCCTCTAACTCTAGTGCATCTGTTATTGTTGTTTCTTCTTATTCGAATTAGTGTCAGCGTCTTATTGTGTGTCTATTTCGAGTCAGATATTATTATTATTATTATTATTATTTAAACAACAGCAAGCGGTAAAACTGAATGGAATGGATTATACAGGGATAATGAACCAGTCTGTTGGATAATAAACCGAGATCGCCATCCAGTCTATTCTTGAATGAGTTGGTATTGGATGCTGCGACTGTTTCTTCGTTCAACGAATTCCACGTATAGACCACTCTGTTGCACAATTAATTTCTTCTGAGGAGTTTAGAACATCTATTTTTCTCCAATTTTTTGGAGTGTCCTCAAAAGTTGTGGTTGTTGAACCGCTCCAAACGGTCTTCGTATGTGAGGTCTCGAATTTCTGGTGGAATTTTAGTGATTCTTCTTTGAACTCTGTCCAATGTGTCAATGACTTTGGCATAGTAGGGATTCCAAACTGAATGAGCATACTTTAGCATGGGTCTGATGAATGACTTATATATTTGTAGGATTGTAGTGACTGAGTAGTCCTTGAATGCTTTTTTCGTGAGGTAGGCGACTGAGTTAGCTTTTTTAATGCATTTTGAGATATATGCTTCTGGTTTCAAATTGTTGGTTACAACAACGCCAAGATCTTTCTGTTCATCAGTAGATACCAAAGGTATGCCGTTAAGTTCGTAATCCATATAAAGGATTGTTGGTGCCAATGTGGAGTACAGTGCATTTGCTTTCGTTGAGGGTCATCAACCAGTGCTCACATCACTCGGATATCGTCATAGTAGGTCAGATTTAAGGTCTTCTCTGCTGGTGGGATTGCAAAATAGCTTGGTGTCATCTGCGAAGGAACTAGCATTGGTTTTGAGATTCATTGGCCTTCACTAAATATATCTCATGCTCATGTCGGGCCGAATAAGCCCCAATAACTCTAACCTAATACGTTCGACCGTTTAGGAACTTTCGGATCTAACCAAATACGTTGTTACGTATTCCATAGTGTTTGTATCATATACGATTGATTGGAACCTTATCGAAAGCCTCCTCAAAGTCCAGGTATACGACGGCAATAGGTTGCCCCGCGTCATTCATCTTTGTCACGTTAGTAGGTTGGTTTCAGTCGATCTTTTAGGCAAAAATCCACCCTGTGACGACGGAAGGATGATGTTTTCCATTGGAAAGTTTGTCAGTTGTATGGTTACAACTTTTTCCATGGATTTGCAAGTGATACTAGTGACACGATAATTTTTTGGATGAAGCTTTTTATGAATTGGAATGATATATGCTTCTTCCCATTTTTCCGGTCTCGCTACACTACTCATCAGGTTAATCGATCATTGCGTGTGCAAGGGGCGAGCTGATAGATTTGGCACATTTTTGTAAAAATATGGTTGGAATGTTGTCGGGACGTGGTCTAGAATCTTTCTTGAGCGCGAGAATAATTGTCCGGAGGTTCTCGAGTAAACTCTTTTTCAAAGTCATCCGCAAACACTTTTGCAGTAATAAAATTATTAGTAATTATTTCCTCAGTGTATTCATCTCATATAGAGTTATTGCGGATATGTTCAAGTTGAGATTTCGTCTGATTTATGAAAAAAGAAAAAAAAAAAATTGTCTGAAGATATTGCTAGGTCGTTCTCATATGCTTTTCTGGCCTCTGCTAGTTCGGTTTTTACACTGTTATTTGCTCTTCGGTATGATTCGTAGTTGTTTTGATTGCTGTTTCTTTCATACCTATCCCATATATAGCTTCCTCTTGTTTTTTATATGGCGAAATATTGAGTTGTTGAGCCATGGCCGACTATGGTTGACTTTCCTGGTTTTAAGTGAAATAATGTCGTTCAATAGCATCAGTCAGAATGCTTTCACACGTTTCATAGTTAATGTCTTCTTGATAAGGTAGTCCATTCACCTGGTCAGATATATATATTGGTTAATTACCTCATAGTCAGTAGTCCAGAAGTTTCTTTTTTTGACAGAGTGAGTCTCCTTGTGGTGCGCATTCAGTTGTGTGTCTGCTCGTACGACTACATGGTCACTGTCACATATCTTTGGCTTCTCGCTCTTCAGATTCATGTATATTTCTGGCGTGTCTTCTGCTCTACGAAACACGATGTTTATGTCATCTGCGTATGACGCCGCTGGTTGTACTGACTTTGAGTTTGGAAGCTGGACCATCTGCTTGAGTATTGTTTATGTTCAACATGTCAGTTATGTCGTTTTGTAGTGTCCATTGACTCCATTGTGGCTTTTATACTAGTCTGATATATTTGGGGGGAGGGATTGCTGAAGCTGTGAAGAACCTAATATAGTTCACGTTTATTGATGGTGTCGCATGCTCTTATGAAGACGTTATCAATGTCGATGACATATTATGTTCCTACGCTTTAGGTATCTGTTTTACCACAAAAAGTTGGTCTGCTGTAGAGCGATTCTGTCTGAAGCCGGCTTGATATTCACCAATTAAATTCTCTGGGGTTGGTTGTGGTTGTGATCGCTTATTTAGGATATACGGGAATATCTTAGGCAGAGGCAGTTCATAGGATGATAATTTCCCGATAGTTTTCGTAGCTCAATTTGTATCTTATCTTGTAAATACTTAGGGCAGATAATTCCAGTTTTCTTGTCATCGAGGATTCGCTCTTTTGTCCAGGATCATTTTATTGGAATCCCAATAAATTTTGGAAGTACGTATTGTTGTGATCGCTACTGTCACTAAATTGTTGTAGTCACTCGAATCTAAATAACTTTTACTCTGTTGAGACGTTTTGATATCTTTATTATGTATAAAATAGGTAACTAATCGCTACGAAGGTACAAAATCTAGTTTTTTCTAGGTGTGAGTTTTAGCTCCTTTTATACTAATTTCTATCCTAATGAAATAATGATATGAACCTAATCTTTACTCAAATAAACAACTCAATGGGCTTGTTTTGAATTAGCCATAATGACAAATTAATCTAAGTACCTACATGTACAGGTTTATCCATCGAAAATGCTTTTTACCTATTAATTAAAGGGATATTTTCACCAGGGTAAATTAAGTAAAAGGTTAACCAGATAAAGCTGGATAAAAGCAAAATTTTGCATGAAGGATATGAAATATCATTTCTTTCGTTCGTAATTTATTTTAAAAAATCATTGATTAGCAATAATATCTCCAAAATTGCTAAATTTAACGATAGGACATGTAACATTTTTTGCTATATTTTCTAAACCCGACTTTCCATAACAAATAATTTAACTACAAACGTCCCTTATCTGAAATCTATTAGGTCCAGAAGAAATAAGAATAATGTTCTGTGATAAGAATATGATTAACGTAATTAACTAGATGACTAAACAATTATTGTGACATGAGGTTTTGTTATGAAAATATAGTTAGGATTAGAACCACAGGTAATTATGCCGAAGTATTTGGAGTTAATTTGGTTCAAGTTATAACTGTTAACTCTATAGTTAGAGAGCGAATGGCAGACATTAGTCCCAACAAATCCACCATCGTGGCATTTACCCGAAGGATTAAAATACAAGAGCTGGGACCTCTTCGATTGAGAAGTGAAAATATACGGATTTCGAGCGATATCAAGTACTTGGGGGTAACACTGGACTCAAAACTTACCTGGAATCAACATCTGGAAAATACCACCAAAAAAGTGGTGACATCACTCATGATAGCCAGACGCTTGTATGGGAAGTTTTAGGGCTTAGCTTAGGGCTGTATTGGACATACAACATGATGGTCAAACATATCTTGACATACGCATCCCTGGTGTAGTGGCCCAAGATACTGCAGGGAAGTGCCGTATGCCAACTTAGCAAAGTGCGAAGACTAGCCTGCTCAGGAATAACGGGGTCAATGCGATCCACACCAACAGCAGCCATGGAGACCCTCCTAGACCTCCCACCTCTAATTATAGTGAAACCTCAAGGGCCCCACACACTTCGTTCTTTCTCGTCGGTTTTCATCGCCGTGATGAAACACGACAATCTAAAACCGAAGTGTGATAGAAGACCGTCGTGTCTCATCGTCGGTTTAAAATCCAGTTCCCGCAGAACTAGTACGTGGGGGGAGAGAGATTCAACATGAGGACCGACTACATGCCAAGACGATACTGCCTGGGAACAGACCATTCGAGGTGAGCTTCCCAAGCAGAACTGAAAAATGGGAACGTGATGGTACACAGCAGAAACAGGGGTATACTCCGCCAACTATAGGGATCACTATGTACTGGGATTTTGTCCGGATTTCTCGACTCCTTTGTCCTGAATTTCGAAAAACATTTATGGAAACCCTAATTTTCGGGCAACCAAACGTAGACCCAGAAACAATAATGAAACACCACCTAGTAAAAGACCTGAACAACCTCGTAGAAGGCACAAAAATAGTGGAGTGGTTGGAATAAACCACACAGGCTAAGTACAATAAGCCTTCTAAGGCTTCAGTGCTGCATGTAGACAATAAGTCGGACAGGCATGGAGTCTTTGATTTGCTGTGGAACACTGGTTATTTGTCCTATATTTAAATTTACTAATACCATAATAATCTAGACACCTTTTTAGATTCTCTAGAGCCTCACTCATAATGAATTTTACAATAAGCTACAAAAAATAGCTGACTCTTCTTCTCTGTACATGTTCATCCTTTTTATAATCTGGTAATTAACTCTACCAACTTCCAAAATAATACTAAGTTGTCAATTATATTGTTTTTTGAAATTTTCATGTCTAATCTTACTATGAAGAGAGTTTATCAAGGTTGTTTCCATTATGATTTCCTTTGATTGGCATGAATAAGTGAGTGATTTTTTTAGCAAAGAAGCAAATCGAAACAATACAACCGAGAAAACCTAGAGAATGCATGTAAATTCTTGCTTATAGCATCAATGGGAACAAATTCTGCACCGGTCGTGCACAGGTGGCGTCGGCTTTTCCGCACCAATGTAATTTCGTAATAATTATCAAACGGAGAAGGAATATAGCTTTTACTACAACACTCTTGAGGGTGAATTTGAGCAGAAGTTTTCAGTCAAACTACCAGTAACTTTCAATTAAAAAATATTGACTATTATTACTTGATGCAATAGTGCTTACTTCACCCAGTTTATGCCTAGGCCTAGCGGCCTAGCCTAGTTTTACCGTTAGAAGAGGCAGGCAGAGAATCGAGGCGAACAAGCCGAGTAGAACTTGAGCCGTTCTGACGACTGCATCAACATCAAGCTGCTGATAATTTTATTTTGATTTCGGTTGCCTTTCTCGCTATGCTTTCAGTTTAGTAGTTGATCGGCTGGGGCTGGGTGTACAAAGTTATTTGTGTTACTTGTGCGCGTGGTGCCGCCACTCTCTCTCGCTTTGTCGCACAAATATCGCAACCTGTGGGGAATTTTAGTACAATTTTGTGTTGTGGTGTGTGTGTGTTAGACTGTCATAGCGTAATAGAATTTAAATTAGGATTTTAATTTCGAGTCGAAAATGGCAGAAAGTCGAGGATCTTTATTGGCTAAATCGGTGCAAAAGCACGCTGGCCGTGCCAAGGAGAAGGTTAGTGACACTCTTCTATTAATATTTTAGGGCTCTGGGAATTGAATTTCTCCTCCGGCCTGGTCATATGTCAACTTATAGGTATTTATAGGCTGGTGACAGTGTTGCCGCATTAATTTATTAGGCTTTAAAACAGGTACGAGCTTTTAAAAGCACACACAGGTATTAGTATGAAGCCTTAAAAGTGGGCCGGTGACCCAAATAAGCCACTATGAAAATTATCCACCGGTTTATTACCATAAGAAATGCGGAAACTTTCACGTCGCTGGTTTGGTGCTTATAGTGCCGTTTCTTACCCAGAAAAAAATATAACATGTCTACAGAATATTAGAATATAAATAAAACAGCCTTGACGCTCCTTATTATAGGTTTTTAGCTTGGACATAGTTGCAGGAATTTATAATTTTAACTTGTCCCCAGAAACTAAACTGATATGCGAACTTCTAACGATTGGCCCAGAACGGAAATTGGTCCTTCGAGCCGGATAATTTCTATAAATTATTCAAATATATAACTGATTCAGTGGACAAGCCACCCACAGAAAATTATAGTAAATTTGGCCTCAAGAAATTTATGTAATTTCAATATAATACCTATGCAAATGTTCATTTATTAGTTTTAAAGGCCCAGTACTCAGTGTCTTCAATGAAGTTAAAGATTTGTTAATTAAACTGATGAATGGTTTTGAATTTTGAATGTCTGAATTGAAATACCTATCTTTCCTGTTAAACCAATCAACAATTTCTGTACAAATTTAGTTAATGATTTGGACACATGGTAATGGTTTGTTGGGTACCTACCCCATTCTTAAGAGTTGATAAATTATAAGACAATACTTGGCAAAAATGTTATCAAAGTATGTAGAGTACCTACTTCTTTGTAAAAATTAGAAATATAAAGGAATTGTGAGTAATAAATTTGGATATAGAAAAGTCTTGAGTGGACTGCTTTTTATAGGCCCAAAAAAGGAAATTTTGAAGATGTATCCATTAGAAATGCATTTTATTTTTGAGCATATAGGTAGGGGAAACATGAATGTCCCCATGCACAAAATGGCAAACCCAGGGGTAAACCTGTTCCCTGATTTTTTTTTTTGCTTCACCTAACCTAATTCTAAGGGAGATATTTGAATTTCAGTAGGTATAAATATTTAAGGATCTGTTTATTGAAAATTGGGATTTTGAAGTGTAGGAGACCTTAGCGAGATTTAATAAATATCTTTATTGAAATCCTGGAGGCAAAGCCTACAACTTGAATGAAAATTGACAAACTTATAAAATTATCTGTCCTGGATCCTGCTGTGACTCTACCTGGATCCGATTTGGATGTTGAGCATTCAAATTAGGTGGAGGTTGATCCATATTGATTGCAACAAAAGCTTCAAATTCTTCGTTCCGCACGTTTCTGCAGTCGTCGTACTCGTCGTTCATTTTGTTTCATAAATTTAGGCGATAGCCATGAAGATGCAAACCATAATTTTGCACCGGCATAAATAGGCTTCTTTGTCTCACTAATTCCCACAATTATCCATCCATTATCCCACTTCTGAAGTTTGTAGGAGGCCTTAGCGAGATTTAATAAATATCTTTATTGAAATCCTGGAGGCAAAGCCTACAGAAGATCCAAATCAAGAACCAAAAATAAAAATCCAAAGAGTACCTATACCTATATAGGTAATGCACATTTTTGAGTAAAACGTGTCTAAAGTTGAGTAACCTGCCCCCAATATAAATGTATTTATTAAAGAGTTCATAGTGTCTTATTTATGATGACCACTCCACCAGTTAAACCATCAATATTCATATTCTTTCTACTCGAGGCACTTGATTTTTTTTTTTGAGAAATTGAAAAGCCAGGAATAAACAAAAATTTAGAAAAATAGAGAGAAAAAATATAAGAAAAATTGAGAAAAAAATTGGTAGATTACGTAAACATTGATATTTTTTCTATCCCAGAATCTTGAATTAAAACACAGAAATAGAGAGAAGAAATGTAAGAAAAATTAAGAAAAAAATTGGTAGATTACGTGGATATTCATATTTTTTCTATCCCAGCAGGCTCTTGAATCTTTTTTTTTTTTAGAAATTCAAGAGCCGGGAATAAACAAAAATTGAGAAATAAAGAGAAAAAATGGAGAAAAACTTGATAGAAAATTGAACATTCATATTTTTTCTATCCCTGGCCTTTGAATTTTTTTTTTTCAAGAAATTCAAGAGCCAGGAAAAGTCAAAAGTTGAGTAGGAAAAATTTAGAAATGAAGAAATGAAATTAAACAGAAATTGAGGAAAAAATTGGTACTCAGACACAAAGTATTTTGTTTTTGGCTGCATGTACATATCATCTCCATCGCCTTTGATGGCCTATGAAGATCACTGTAAAACTGTGGAATTTTTGTACGAGGAGTATCCAGGAAGTTTGTTTGTCTTAGTGGGTGATTACAACTTACCTAAGGCCAAATGGGATAATGATAGTGTAGGAAACTGTGGTGTAGGGTTGACTGTGGATTGTCCTAATGGGCGGTTACACACGGACGTGGATGTCTTAATACATATACATGCATACATCAACGTGCAACCAAGAATGTGCATGGCACTTTTGTACACACACTCGTACAAAACTGCAGTCTTGCTATTCTTGCTACAGTGTTCCGAGTGTGCATACAAAATTGCACATTCAAAAATGCGACGATATTTTGTATACACATTGATGTTTTTGTTTGCACGTTCATGTATGTGCGTACATGTTTTCAGACATCCACGTCCGTGTGTAACCGCCTAATAATGATGATGCCCATTGTATAGCAAATAATTTTAGCTTCTACAACTTTTTTCAGAATAATTTTGTCTTGAATAGTCGAGGTGCTCAACTGGACCTAGTTTTCAGTAATTTTGTAGACCTTGCAGTTACGCCTGCTATCGATCAAATTTTTAAATTTCTCATTTAAGTTTCAAGTTTATTTATTTCAAAATAGTTACAAATATTGTTACATTAAATTTATGTTACAATACTAATATTATATATACCTAACTAGCTAAAGCACCTAGATGACTTAACACCTGTATGTGCTTATTTTGATATTTAAAATTTTTGTAATTGTATTTAGAGATAAGTTTTTTTACACGTTTACTATCGCGCTTACGGAAAAAAAAAGAAAAGAAAAATCACTACAACCTAAAAATTACTTACTTATCTAATAATAATCTAGTACCTAATAAAAAGCACAAAATTATAGCCAGGTCTTATGACAGCAGAGTAGTACAGCAACAGGGATTCAAGCATAAAAATCCGACCATAACCTCAATCTTTCATTCTTGACACGATGGTGGATGCGCCGTCGTTGACACGAAGGTGGATGCGTCGTCGGCGCCATCTTGTCAAACCTCATGGCGCCATCTGTCGTGAGTGCGGTGAATTCTTGTAATTACAGGTTCCTGTAATATGGAGTGTGCGTGGAAGGGATTGTTCCGAGTCGTTTCGAAATCGCTACGTATATGTAATTATGGTTCAGGTAATTACAGGTTCCTGTAATATGGAGTGTGCGTGGAAGGGATTGTTCCGAGTTGTTTCGAAATCGCTACGTATATGTATTTATGGTTCGGGGAATCACAGGTTCCTGTAATATGGAGTGTGCGTGGAAGGGATTGTTCCGAGTCGTTTCGAAATCGCTACGTCTAGTTAATTATGGTTCGGGGAATTACAGGTTCCTGTAATATGGAGTTTGCGTGGAAGGGATTGTTCCGAGTCGTTTCGAAATCGCTACGTATATTAAATTATGGTTCTGTGATGACGTCATAGCGACCTGGGTCACGTTCGTGGCGCCATTTAGAGTACATAGTGCGAAGTTCGTTTCATGGTTCTGTGATGACGTCATAGCGACCTGGGTCACGTGGGTTACGTCAGTGCGGGTCCGTGGCGCCATTTAGAGTACATAGTGCAAAGTTCGATTCATGGTTCGGGTTCTGTGATGACGTCATAGCGACCTGGGTCACGTCCGTGGCGCCATTTAGAGTACATGTGTCAAGTTTGATGTGTCTCATAACAGGATGCTGTGGTGGTGACGTAACTATGAGGGTCCAGCAGCTAGCTTCATGTTGTACCTGGTAGAGGGTGTTCGAACTTAAGGATGATACACACCTACAGTATTGCTCATTGACCTCGTGTGTTACCATTTACGACGCCATAACTAAGTCATCAGCTGTTTAAACAACCTACGTCAAGGCGAGAAATAACATGCTGCTTACGTCACAACTGGTGATTTAACGTTGGGGAGAGAGTGGATTTGTTCCACACAGGCCTTATGAGCATAGGCTATCCTGTAGTAGTAGTGTGTATTATCCTTGGTTGGAACCAACGTTTGATGGGAAAGGGGCCTCGTTTTTTTATTAAAAACATACATTTTTTTAAGACAACGATTTCAAAAGCGAATATTTTCCATCAATAAACTGCTTAATATGATCCAATCATTTTGGTGGTACGTCTTGGGAGCAACACTGCGTTATCGTCAAATTCGACGAGTATTTCAAATCCATAGCTAAAAATATGCCACAATTGTATCGATTACCTAAGTATATAAGATATTTACTTACTAGGTTAAAATAATAATTTCTGTACAATAGTTTTATGATCTACCTTAATTTGTATAGTTTATTGGTTCCAGTAAAGATTTGCAATTATTTTGAGGTCTCTATCGTAGAAAATATTGGGAACTTTCACTTTATACCAGATCTTATAATTTTCTCAGTGTTTTTGATCCTTTGTTGTAAAAAGACAGGCCTTGTTGATTGATTTCAAATCCATATCTAAAATATTCCATAATTGTATCGATATCAGTATATAAGATATTCACTTACTTGGTTAAAATGATAATTGTTGTGCAATAATTTTATTGTTGTTGACGAGTCTCAAACAGTGGCGGCTCGTGATGTCCAAGTAAGGGTGGGCGACAGAAATAAAAAACAGCCATGGGCAATTTTTTTTAGATTTTCAAGGTCGCGGCCTTT